TAGTTATAGAAACTAACAATTCAATACAAACAAGGCTGCAAACTTATGAAGAATATGAGCTTTCTAAAAAAGAATGTGAATGATGTTTAAAAAAAAAAATTTTTTTTAAGTATAGCATATGGTTTAAAGATAAAGTTTATAATTGTGAAGTATTAAAATGTAAAAGAAGAAATCAAAGTCATCATTGTCATGAGATTTGCAAAAAATATTATGAAATTGATTCTTTAAGTTTTGATATTTTTGCTAGTCTTTTTAATTAAAGTTTAAGTCTAATCAGTTATTTAACTGATTAGAATTTTATTGATATAATCTGAAAAAGATTTATACATAATTTAAATGGAAGATAATTTTTTTCTTGATAATTCTGTATGGGAATATTTTCTTCAAAAACTAACTGAAAAGACTGATGATTTTGAATATTTTGTTCAAAAAATAGCTAGAGTATCAGCTGTTAAAGTATATCAAGGCAATAATCGTACTGATATTATTATTGTGAAACATATCAATTCAAAACAGGAAAAACATTTTATTTATCTTATTTATAATAATGTAGAAATAAGTGTTAAATTTGAATTCTTTCTTGAAAAAGCTTTTTGTCGTTATTGCTAAAAGAAAAATTAAATTTTTTGATAGTATTTTTATTTAGTTTTATTTTAGTTAGTCTATTTGACCGGTTAGATTTTTAATTACATAATTTTGAAATGACTGATAAAAAGGTGAGTTATATTCACTTAATAATCATATTTGTGTATGCTGCTCTTCAGGCATTAGGAATTTATTCTGGGAAGAAAATTTTTTAAAAAAATTTCTCGAGGATAAATTTTGTTTTTGCTAAGAACGCGAACGTGTAAGACGCCACAATCCATGGAGTGAAAAATATGTTTTATTAATTTTTTTTTATTTTATTTTAGGTGACAAATTGGTCAAAAGATCACATTTTTGAAAATGATCTTCGTAAATTATTTAACCAGAATAGGATAATTGCCTATATAATTCAAGTTACTGAAGGAGACGGTGGATTAGATTTATTACTTTCATATAAGGGTAATCAAATATGTGTACAGTATAAAGATAGAGAAAATGCTCTTACATTATCTATATTAAAAGAATTTGAATTCACAATGATACATTTTAAAAATTTATTGGAGATTTTGGTTTATAATAGTAAGACCATGAAAACTAAAAAATATTTGACAAAACAAGCTAAACTTTGGTTGGATAATT